CGAGAAATCAGAGAAGAAGTCAGAGTAAGGATTCGGCTTAGAGATGATAACAAATAAAACTGTTTTTTCAGTTTTCCAGCTTGGCTGGACAAGACTAAGCATCAGGCTTTCAAATGAACTTAAACTCAATCTGGGTGTTTGGGTGATCAATAAGTGGAAGTAGATAATCTAGAGGATCGCTGCCCCACCCCACCAACCCCCCCAGCTGTACTTCGAGGATCGTGATAGTTAAAAGCCTGCTCCTACCTCGTTGTTCTTGTGTTGCATTTGATTTGGTTGGATTGGTGTCAGAAGAGCTTCTCATGTGCACCAACTGTAAAGAGAAAGATGGACACAACAGTCAACGCTGAACTCATCTGCAGTTTAAAGAACCTTCAGTGCTCAGATCATCAGAACAATGTGTTACAGGGAGGATGAGCCAGAGAGTTGAAGTTCTTTAACTTCCAACTAAGAGTGATAGCTCCTGACTTGAAGCCTCGACACACTTGGATTGGCATGGATCAGTCAGTAGGACAAAGTATTACAAGCACTGAAACTTAATGAAAGACCTGTTATGGTGAAAGACATGCAGTTAGTGGGTTTAGGTCCACTGGTGATTGTAAATTGTGGGTGTGAATGGTCGTCTGTGCCTCTCGCTCTGTTCTGGGAAAGGCTGCAGCCCTGCTGTGACCTGATATAAGTGGAAGAGGATGGATGGTTTGTGACAGGATCTAATTACAGTTTCCCGAGTATATACAATCTGGAGATGTTGCCAATGTAATAAAAATGTTCAGATTCTGGTTACACTTGATGTCATTTCATATTTAAAAACACGGAAAGTTTCATAAGTGAACATTTATGTATGTTAGCTGCTTGCTCACCGGCTGCTTGTCTCGGGCCATCCTGCGGTCCAGAGCAGCCTGCCGTCGCCTGGCCTCCCAGTGCATCGCTGACATCTCGAGTGGGTCTGGGCTACGGAGACGTGGACACTGTAACCCTTTGTGGTGTGCCTGCACTGAAGGTCACCTCTGGAAGTACATAAAAAGAGAACTGGGGTAAATGTAGAGATGAAGGTGTGAAGTTTGGAGGACATGGGAAGTTCAGTTGCCATGGAAACCCGTTCCCTTATCATCTTCATTTATGCATGATGTTACATGACATCAAAGCCAGGATGCAGATTGGAAATAGAGAGACGGTCAGTGTCAGGAGCAGAACATCTGAAGCCTCTACACCTTATGGATGGAGCGAGCAAGAAGACCTGACCAGTGTATGCTGAGTCTGCTGCTCATCTGAACCCATCTGTGCACTCACACCTCACCACCCTCTCATGACTTCCTCATGCAGCACCACAGTTCCTCTCTTGGCAGCATCTCATCTGCTTCCTCTGATCCACAAAGACACAGTGAAGCTCCATCGGTCCTCCTCCATCAGCACAATCAAGCACCGTCACGTCTGCAGTGCTTTTCTTCAACGACTCTCTCTGGTACTTTCACGGTTTCTCTTCAGCTTTAGCCCTTAGTTACTACAGCTCTCACCTTTGTAACGGATAACGAGCATCAGTACTTTTCCATTCCTCAGACATCCTTTCACACACCAAGATTAGAGCTGGGCGATATGGCCTAAAATTCATTCAGGTCCCAAAGTCAAACGAACACTAAGAGTTAAAAACGGTCTAAATTCTTTCATCTTTAATAAAATGATCAGCGTTGCTGCTTTACCAGGTGTAACAATTAAGTTTAACATCCATGAAAACAGAATTTATTAAATTTAACGGAGTTAGAAGTTAACAGGAAGTTAGCTTGCTAGCTTCCACCTAAACATGTTGTGCTACGTGATTGCTAGCGACACAGCTATGTTAGCATAACATTAGCACAGTAAAGCTGGAGGATGGATGCTAACTTTTTTCCACTCCATAAAAGTTAACGTGAGGGATTCTGGTGGTCAGGGACAAATGCAATCTCATAGCAGGATGCTATACACGGGCCAAACTTCAGTCAGGAGAACAACTGAGATCATTCATCCACAATACGAGGTTAGTTATTAATATACTGCAACAACATGGGAGCAGCTGCAGAGAATTCAGCATTAATGAATCAATGTTACGGAAGTGGAGGAAGCACAGTTTTTGGCTTTCCCATATTTCAAAAGTGCTTCATCTCTTTGCTGTGACTGTCGCCCGCCATAATTTTCAGATGATAATGGTTTTAGCCGCTACGATGCTTTCGACCAAAACAGGCGCAGCTTGATGACATGATCAACATGCGCCATCGCGATAGAGCGGTATAGTCAAAATCTCTATCGTTGGCCAAATTTATATCGTTTCTATCGTATATCGTTTATATCGCCCACCCCTAACCAAGATTGTGTCAACCACACGGAGGTCCACTTCTGACACCTGCACAGGTATGTCTCTGCTCTTTATCCTCACACTCTCTCATTTTCACGATTCAAAGTGACTCGAGCAGCATGTGCTGCTGCTGGGGAGGATTGGATTACAAACACTGTGCTTTATCTCACAGCAGCTACATGATACAGCACCCAACCACTGCCACCAGCTACTCTGATTACTGTGCTGGGTCCCGTCTCACCTGCTCTGTGTGAGCCCTGCACGCTTCAAACGAACACAACATTTAAATGATGCCACACATCTCGAACATTGATTCACACTGTCAGAGTTTGAAGCTATGGAAAACATCATGTTACACACATATGATACAGAGATTCAGACTCTGTGTAATGACAAAGGCACACCCAGATTTGCATCATGTTTCCACACTCTCAATGAATGAAGACATGATTAATTTGAACTGTTTTCTTCTGGATTCCTGGACTTTCAGCTGTTAAAGATTACGTGTGAATAAATATCAGCACAGACAGTCGCTGTGGTCTTAATGAGCAAATGAGAGTTTTACTCACCTGACTTGTCCTCAGGAGACAAAGAAGCTGTCCCGGCTGAGCACTGCTGAGTGTCAGTGTCACTCTGACCTCGATAAGGAGAGCCTCCTGGCAACACAACGCTGGGCTGCTTTGTTACAGAGGAACAGATTGGCAGGGGAGTGTGGGTAAATCTGCTGCCTCCACCCTCCATGGTTCACTAACCATGGTCCCACCCTGACATGGCTGTGTGCTGTTGAGCTTCTGTGTTCATTTTAAATTCACCAACTTTCACTGAAGGTCTTAAAAGATGCAAGTTTAGACCTGGAGAAGAAGAAGTCCTTGTTAGGTGAGGCTGGGGGTCACAGACCTTTGAACTCTGCTGCATATGTCACAAAACATTAAATGTAGCAGACAGGAAGTGAAGAAAGTCAGTCAGGAGGTTTGTTACAGAAGAGTTAAAGGTAAATGTGGACGGGCTCAGGTGTTGTTTAATCATTGAGAAAACATTTCATTCTCTCAATCGAAGACCGAGTGCTTGTAGAGATCTCACCGTTTGAAATACAGACTTTACAACATGTAAGAACTAAACTGCAAGCTGAAGTTCTGCAGTGACCATGGATGTGAGCCACGAAGTGATTTGAATGCATCGAAAAGTGCTGATGATTAAAATGTGGCATTAAAAGAAAAGAGAAGTGAGTGCTTAAACTAACAAGCACTGGCAGGAAACACCGAAGCACAGAAAGGACCGGTCTGAGGGAAGCACATCGCCACCACGCTTGTGTGGGAACACTGAATGTGTGATTGGAAACAAACTTTGGACAAACATTTCCAATCAGAGAGTGTGCCAGTGGACAGCGTGGTGGCATGGATACAGAATGAACTCTGGAAGGTTTCTGCACCAATTCTTCATATTTTTACTTTCACGTGTTAATCCAGCCGTCACACCAGAGAAAGCTTTCTTTTCCAGTTCTTTCTATACAAGTTGGATGTTTTATATTAAACGGTTAGCTAAAAAAAAAAAAAAAAGTAACATCTGGTGATGCTGAACGGGCCACAGAGACCATCTGTGCAGTGCTAAGATGTTGTTGTGGGCCCCATGGTGGAAATACCATAATAAGTAAATAAAAATGAAAGTGGAACTTGGCAACCAACAGAACCCTGACCCTGGTTATTTTATACCCTGAAAACAAGTGAATTTTCTATTGTTAGAGGACCAGCTGAGGCATGTGGTTGGCAGGACGCTCTGGAGAGGAGGGAGTCTGAGATCCTGCAGCGACCTGAGCCCGACCCTGAGATAAACATTTTTTTATTGTTGTTTTTAAAGTTTTATCTGTTCATTAAAGTCTATAAAAGCTTTCAGAGCAGTTTGAGTTTGCTGTTGTTGGCTCTTGGTTGATGCAAAGAGACCAAACACGGGTCAACTCCTCCACCTTAATTTAAACAGAGGCTGTTAAGGAATAAACACATTCTTAGTGCTTATTTTCTGATTATATTGTTTTATGTATTTTAGTAATAAAGGCTTGTAAAGCAAGGCCACTTTTGACTCATAAACAAACTTATGCCACAATAATAAGGGAACATTGAAAACATACAACCCGTTGAGGGGACGGATGATCTAAATGGTTGGGCAAGTGAAATGTTTCGTGTTGTTTAGCATAATCACTGATGTTATACCCTCGGCTTTTAACATGCAAGTAAACTTAATGGGATAAATCAGGAATTATGTCGTGTTTCTCAGGAAACGCGAAAAGGGGGAAACTTAAGGAATAAACACATATTCTTAGTGCTCATTTGCTGATTCTCCAAAAGTTGATTCTGTTCATCTGGACGTAGCGTTTTCTGGGAGAAACGTTTCGTCATCATCCAAGTGACGTCTTCAGTCTCAGCTGACTGCAGGTTTCAATCTTATAAACAGAACATTTGCATAATGACTGAAACCAGCCCACTGAAGGAACAATGGGCTGGGAGGTCAGTTCCTTAATCTTAATTATGCAAATCATGACCATTGATCAACAACCACTGATCAATAACCATGAGTACCATTCACAGAGAGTTGGGGAATGGCTGCAATCACAGCATTGTAAGATGGTAACAGATGTACCCTTAGGCCCCTCCTCCATTCAGAGATGGTCTTTCCCCTTTCACGTAAATGGCCTCCTTGACTCCGCCCTCAAACCAGCGTTCTTCAAACCAGATTATACTGTACGCTGTTAAGTGCCGGAGGATTGTCAGGATTTATACATCGGGGAAACAAACAACCTTTGGTGAAGCGGATGGGACAACACAGAAGAGCCACCTCGTCAGGCCAGGACTCTGCAGTCTATTTACATCTACAGGTCAGTGGACACTCTTTCAATGATGAGGATGTAACATCCTGGACAGGGAGGAACGCTGGAAGTAATAAATGCATGAACTAGTTTTTCAGAGTCACTCTGAGACAGGATATTTCTCAGCAGCA